ATGTATTGTTCTCGGTAATAGTAGCAATGAGACATCTAAAAATGTGTAAGATGAATATATCATATATGCCACCGTTGGAGATATATCATATATTCTCCTGTAGAAGATATAATATATCTGTGTTACGAACTAGCATAGTGTGTGAGGGGGGTGACTTAGACTTATTTAGCCGATGATACACTGTAGAGATACCAGGTTTGATCCCAATGAACACGCATTACAGATAGTTCATCTTTATTCATTCAAACGGTCAGCAGACGTAATACACGCTGGCTGTTTCTTACAAAATTTTACAAATTTTCACAAATAAAACATGAGATCAGCCAATGGTTGCAGCCATTGATATGATCTTGTGATCACCAGGGATGCGTCTCAAAAGTTGATACATTGCGATATTACCTCAACTGAACACAGTTAAACGATGTATTTATAAAATTCCTGTAATATATGTTTATGTCAACCATAAACATGTGTACCAAATGTGCGTACGTGATGTCATCATGGTAACCACTGTGAAATATATTATATATCCCACTGTAGAAGATATCTTGCAGGTCACTATGGAAGGTCAAATTGCATCTTCAAATCGCTGTCCTTGATCCAAACTTTGTAGAGTGAATCAAATAGTTCATTATCAGCAACAGTGAAATAGTTCTTCCATCCACCAACTTTACCTGTAAATAAACATGAGAATGCAATGCAGTTGTTTCCATAGAAACCCATTTATAAACCGGATTGCTTGTAAGACAACTTGTTTCGGTCTTTTAAAATTGTTTTTGCTTTGTTTCTATGGCTAGCCACTTTTGTTTTTTTCTGATTGACTAGCTAACCAGTTAAGGGTAACCAACATGTTGCTGGGCGATCAGAATTGTATTTATAAAGATTCATGTTCCGCTTTAATAAAACATATTAAATGTATATTCTGAAATATGGTTTGTGCAGTGCCATATGCCACTATGTGCATGACATATGTGGCAAAGGCGTCTGCTCAACAGATTGTTCTTAAGTCGTATGCGATTTCCAGTGAGTCGTATCGAATGGTTCCAAAAACAGCCTTTATATGTCTAGTGCGTACTTCGATATTTGAATAAAGTGACTTGCGTGTACTTAAACAACTGACTGAAAGCCACATTCTGAATTCAGGTGTGATTTTAAATTATTCTTTATAAAAACATGTAAATCGAATTAGCTTCAGGAACTTCACTTCATAAATGTGTTGAACTTTATTCAGTTCCAGTGTTTGTAACACCTGATAAGCGCCTTGTATTGTGATTGTACCTTTTCTCACAAATGGAGAGTCCTGTGTGGGGTTGACTTTCAAACGTTGTGAACAGTAATCACTTTTAAGCGCCATAGGATTTTTCTTCATGCTATCAAAACTACAGTGATCGGCAATCTTGTCAACAACATTATCATCAAGCTTAACCTCGAGGAATTCAGCCACTTTCCTAATATTTCCTATTAGATCCTGTGTATTGAAATATAAAAGTGAACAACTATATGGTATGTGGGTGGATGAGAAATAAATGCACCTGCCTTTATACAGTTACGTTTGGAAGAGTTTGGTCATAAACAGTTTGATCAGCACAACTTGAAAATACAAAGAATGTATTTTGCTCAACCAACAACACCAATATCGTATTAACTCGTGATATTCGTCTAATGTGATGCGATGTAGTGTAAAATCAAAATAAAGCGTGTAAATTTTGAATTTACCTGTTTCATATCTTCATAAAACATAAATAGAACATTGCTATCGTGTCTTCGACTCCACCAGTGTAGAACATGGTCTTTCCACAATGAACCACCGTCTAGAACAAGGGCATATACTATGTGTTAAAATTATATCAAAGTCTCAACAATTCAATTGATGCAAGTCTAACAAGTTGAATACCGCGTGCTATCATAGCGGTTCGGGCCATTCTGTTATTTCTATTTGGCGGATATGACGTTTCTTCTGATAAAATAAGGCGGGAAAGTGTAGAATATGTACATGTACATTTCAGTTGCTGTTATATACAGCTGATACCAAGTCCATGTATGTATACTAGACGTGTATATTCATATTTTATTTCGCTCATGTTTAGTTTCTGCGAACCGGTTTGTATAATGTATTAACAGATCAACAATATAACCAATGTATGTAGTAGAAGTACGTAGAACGTATTAACAAATTAAAAATCACCACTGAAATTGTATGCAGATTATCATTGTATTATGAATGCTTTTATTTTGGGATCTTTATTCAACATTATTTGTAAAAGGCGCTGTTTTGACAAAGCTTTACTATAAGACATCGTTAAAGCATCATGGGATATGAGCAGCCCTGTAAAAATGAACAGATATGTTGTTAAATACGCTCATTCTTCATTGGAAGTAAGTATACTTACAAATCACACATTGTGCATCATTTTTAGCACTGATAAAATCAAGTAAAAAGGCGCTGAAACTCTCGTAACCTGGTGAACTGCGTGAGGAGGTCACTGCTTGGACAAAATGAAAACAGGAAACTGCCACATCCTTTGGATTACGACTGACATAGATGACCTGCAATGTATGATAATACGCGGCAATTGAATGGCGCCGATAATAAGTGATTGTGTTTCCTATTAATCATAGCTAAATGAAACACAGATTGAAGGTGAGGGTATAATATCGACATGACTAACATGGCATATAGTGTGGGGCAGATGCGATATTTCAAACTTTTGAATTCGCTATTCAACACGAGTGTAGGTACGGGAAACTATACCTTTAACGATAAGGCGAGTGCCTTCAGTGTGCAGTACAGTAACAAATGTCATTTGACTAATTTTAGATCTGTAGATTGAAACGGATTTCCAATATTGAAAGATTACTATTATGTTACAAAATGTTCAATAAAAACAAAATAGACGATCACATGCAATCATGTACGTATATCTAGAAGTTAAGACAAACCTTGCATGGTTGTAGTTGTGAATGTTAAAGCATTTATGAACAATTATGTATAACGCATGCGTACATAATCATTATTATTCGTCATTTACTGTACACATGTAATTTGAGATTTTTACTGCAAAATGTATGCAACCACACATTCCATTCTGTTCACATGTCTAATTTGCATATCTGACCTATTTCGTTGCAGAATGCATTTTTTTATGAAATATTAAAACGTATATTAAAAATAAAACAAACACTATTAATGTGTTATATGCATTGCCAAGCACAGATTTTTCAACATCAATTATGATAGACACCATTTCAATAAAATATTGTATAACATTACAAATTTTCTGCATTGATGTTATGGTGGTGATTCATTTGTTACATTTATATGACGATATTTTTAAGTTTTAAAAAGTTATGAACTGCTGCTTATCTATATGCTTACATTGTTGTGCTGAAATGTCCGTAATTGATATGACGCATGCGTGAAAGCAATCACTTCAACATTAACTAAACATGGACGATATAGGTTTAATGGAAGATCATTTTATTGTTGAGATTTCTATTATACTCCTTGATTTACCATTTCCATCGGTACAGTTTTAAATAAAGTTCAGTTCTTATAATCATATTGACATGACAATATGTGGGTGCATTTCAAAAATGTCTTCGAGATAAAACTCAATTACTGCATGTGTATTCATGAGCTGGTTTGCGACACTATCTTTCGAATATCTGAGATATTCACATGTTCAGAATAATATAAGCCTGTTGGAGGCGTTTTGGTTTAAAATGTTGGTTTTTTTGCCCCATCCCAACCGTAGAAATGACGGTCTCGTACTACAATGACTTTTTTATTCCTTGTTTCTCGAGTTTTTATAAGTCAATTTTTTGGAGGAGGGCGGAAAAAAATAAAATTAATTCTTTTTTCCATTAGATTTGTGTGATTCTCAAAGAACTTTATGCGAGATTATTGATCGGAGAGAATAAATGAAATACAATTTTATTCCATGTATAATTTGGTTGGCAATGTCGCCAATTGTGACACAATTTTCAGCATTAATGAGTGATTTTTCGGTTTTGACGATAGAGTTTCACGGCGTGAGATTCGCTGTCAACCAACGCGCATAAAGTATAGATCTACGCGAGACTTCAGTACTTTGATCATGATACTCCCATGAAAATACAACTTGGATTTGTTAGGGGGCAAGCGGAAAAAAAATGAAGATGAAAATAGATATTTTTAGAAATTTTTTTGAACTCACAAGTCGGCGGGTGCGAGAAATTACATTGTACGCCGAAATAAAATTTTATTTTTATTTAATTTTCGGCTCCTGTTCATTCGGCGGGTTCGCGAAACAAGGGATAATAAAAGTCTGGCCTAATAGACATAGTGTAAAAATGTGAATCGCAGGATGGTTTTACACACAAAACAGTAATTTGTCTGGCATCATCACTGTGCCGAAAACTGCACTATCATTGACATTGAAAAGCGACTGACTGATCGAGCTGATTGTTTGAGTCTGTCATTTCAAAAGCAGATAGTTTTCGTTTAAATGACAATGGTGTAAATACAACATGCCATCCATTCAAAAAAGTTCTTTTCAATATTTGAATTTTGTTCGATCACAAGGTCATTCGTATGTCAACAATATTTAAACAAGTGCAATAAATAGTGAATAAAAAGATCAAAGCAAGCATGGCATAACTCATTCCATTTCTTTATTAGATTGGCAGTGTGCTATAGGCACATGTTACACGTTATAAACTCACTAACTTAGTAACCCTATCATTTGAGTGAGTTATTACGTGGGAAATGATTGGACAAGGTTGGGCAAATTCCCAGTTGACCATTTCCATAATCTTAACAGAATGACCAACCCTATTGTACTTGCAACATCTCAAAAAAGCAAAAAAAAAAAACGAAAAAAGGTAGGTAGGACTCCAGACTCCTTTGCCTCTCATGGAATGGAATCTGCGAGTCAAAATGAAGACGTCCATGAAATGTTACTGGGCCAACGTAAACCTATACCAGGGCTGGATATATAAAGTATAAACTGTATTAGTATTGTTACGAACGGGAATACGAGATAGTCTCCCGCGAACCTGGCC